CCTGCTGACCAGGTACAGAGTCCCCTGACCTGCCCAGGGCTCTTTCCTGTGGGTTTCACTGGAAAGCGAAATACCAGCAGCATCAGGGCCCAAGCTGCTCCCCAGCTGGATAACTGCACCTCCTCATGCAGCAGAGGAACATTTTTTAAGTAGTGGAGTCCCTGGAGGAGATGAGTGGCTGCCCAGCTGTCTCTGGGGCTGGCTGTGTAGGGACCACACTTTAGCACCACGGCAGCCAGGAGGGGCCTGATCCACCCTGGGACGTGGATTTTTTGGAAACGGGAGGAGATTCACCTTCAGAGCTGCCCTTGTGTCCATGCACAGCTCACATGGTGTGTGGGGTGGGCTGGAGCCCTTGGAGTTCAATGTCAGAGCCCTCGGAGCTGCTCAATGTCACCTAAGGACAGGAGAAGCCACATCTGGGTTCCCCAGTCCACTGCCTCTGCTGAGTGACCACAGCTTCTGCCTGCCCGGCTGGGTCCCTCATCCTTGTGTTCATGCTCTTGGCTTGGTGTCCTTCTGTACTCTTGTTCCTGCAGGAAGCTCTCCCAGGCACTGCCCTTTCCTGCTCGTGGTGAGGGAGCCCCACATCCTCTAGCTGTGGGTTCAGCTTCTCAGGGAGGGGAAAGCTTGCACCAGCCCCAGGGAGAGCCAGGGAAGAGAAATGGAGTTTCTCACTGCCCCAAGGGCAAAGAGCTGCTCCTGCACCAGCAGCCTCTGCTCTGTATCACATCCCCAGTGAGGATCAGGGCCTGTGCAGGAGCCTCAGAATGGGGAATGGGTTTTGTTGCTCGAGTTTCACAGCTCAGGAAACTGAGGTAGTGGTGAAGGTGGCTAAGACAGCAGCTCAGGGTCTCTTCCCACTGTGGCTGTCCCAGGGGTTTGGTGGTTTAGCAGCCTGGGAAAACGCCCCTCGGGGAAGGGAGTGCAGGGATTTGGTGCGTTGCCACAGGCAGCTGAGGTCAAGACCAGGACGGAGCTGGGGAGCTCAGGGTTGTATTTGTAGCTACACCACTTGTCCCTCCCTATGCAGCACCCAGGACTAAGAGGAGTTAAAGAAGCAAAAGGCATTTTCTGGAGTCAGGGGAGCTCGGTTTTTTTCCTCTCTCTGCACTCATCCTCACCCTGCTGCTTGTGCTGTCCTTGCTCCGACCGTGTGGAATTGGCGCTGCTCCCCAGCGCCTTCCTGTCATTAGGATTCCCTGGATTGCTGCTGCTTTCCCTCTTCCAGTCAGGCTCTCCCTGTCCTCGACACTGACAGATCCCCCACGGCCACGGTGGGACACGGTAAAGATGTGCTCCTTCTTCATCCTGTGCCAGAGGGCACTGAGGGTGCCGGTGGCTCCTGGGCACACTCTGGCACCCTGGCACAGTCCCTGGCCGCAGGAACTGCCCCGGGGCCGTGGCAGTATTGGTCGCTGCCTTGAGAGATGGGTGAGATTTTGAGATGCTTTTGAGATGCTGGGATTTGCAGGGGGCTCAGCTGGAGGAGTGACCCTGTGCTGGTGGTGTCCCAGTGGGAACTGGTCACCCCACCACAGCCCACACCTCCCTTTCTGCTGGGCACAGACCCAGCAGCGTTCCTGCCCGTGTCACTGCTGGCCCAGGGAAGGTCTTGCAGGTGTTTTGGGGCGAGCTCAGGACAGGAGCTTTGCAGAGCATCCCTCCTCCCGCTGCTCCTCCTGCTGGAGCAGAGCCCCGGGGGGCGATGCGGGTGCTGTCCCCTGTCACCCTCGGTCCATCCCTCCATCCTCCCGCTGCTCCACGCGGGGCCCCGTGCACCGAGTGAGTTCGTCTTTCCATTGTTCAAACAATCTCTTTTCCACACGCGGTGCCAAGGGCTCCCTCTGCTCGCTCCCGCACGCGCCAGTATATTTAGCTGCCTCTAAGCCTCTACCTTTCCTTATATAGGAGAGGCCAAACGAATTTCGCACTCTCATTATTAATAGCCTGAGAGGAGCTCTTAGGAGGCTGCCAAAAATAGCAGGCAAACAGAGCGCACCCGGGCTGGGGAGGGCGCCGTGGCAGGGAGGGACCGCCGGGACCCCCCCGGAAGGAGGGACACA